CATACGCACACACGCACACAAACCATTGAGAGGCGTTCACTTAGCTTAAGTATAGGGAGACCAAACAGACAGACAGACAGACAGACAGACAGACAGACAGACAGACAGACATATAGAGAAAGGGCTCGCGGGGATGGGGCGGGGGTGAGGCTAGTAGGTGTTACCGGAAACAGACACGGTCAGCGGAAACTGAGCAAATAGGACAAGTTCAACTTGACCCAGGACGAGCAAAATGAGTGGAAAGTGTGAGGTGGTCAAACCTTGAGACGGGATGAGGCCTGAATGGGGAAACTATCAGAGCCGTGCACTTTCAAGGGAAGAAAAAAAAACAACTATCAAAGCCGGGCACTTTTTGACGATATCGATACAACGAGATTGCCGATTCAATCCAACAGTTACAGTTACTGTCCCCTTGACAAAATTACTCTGTACAGCCCCAACCTAAATAGGTTCGTCTTTCTGCAGATGTTAGGTGACTTCCAGGCCATTTCTAGACTGAAACTACAAAGAAAGACTAAGCATAAATAAACGCACTACCGCAAGAAGGAAGGGAAAATGTGTAACTAGCAAAAGTACGCAGATGGACAAGTCTCAAAACTTCAATTTTTATCCCGATTGATCAAAAAAGTGCTTCCCCAACACTTTAAATTTAAAGATCTCCCCTGTCCTGTAGATATGTTTTTTTAAATACATGAAAAGCCTGTCCATTCAATACAAAATCTACTTGATATCTTGTCCTAAGCCCAGTAAAACGCTGGTGGTACTTAAATTAAGTTGTTGGAGGACACTGTTTTGGTAACCAATAATTTAATTATATCGACATCGTCAAAAAGTGTGCAGCTCTTATAGTGCGCGGCTTTGATAGTTTTTTCTCGAAAGTACGTTGCTCTGGTGTTCTCCCCCTGAGTGTTAGATCGTCATTTATTACCTGAAGTTTTGTAATAGTAATAGCGCTTGGCACGTTTTGGGAAGGCTCGTTCAATTCATTTTTGTTCCAGACACGTATAGAAATCTACCCGGAAACGGACGATTGAACCAAAGAAAAAACAAAAGAAAAAAAAAACGAACAAGAAAACATGTCCTGTGACCCATCAAAAGGAGACGAAACTTCCACTGTTCTGTGGTACCATTTTTGACAGCACATTATGTAGCGTAGGGATGACTTGCATTTTCTTCACACTCATACTGTTTTCTATCTAGTTCTATTTGAAAAGTGGTGGTGGGGAGGAAGGGGTGGGGGGAGTCCTATATAGCTCAGTTGGTATCGTACTGCGCAGCGGTGCTGGTAACTCGCTTCTGAATCCCCAAATGTGTGTTCATAAACTGGGTTCTTTGATGGTGTTTTGAAGGCTTTCATTCAACCCAGTTTTGTCCTTTCGGTAAAAAGACGTTAGATTCGGAGATCCCGCCTCATCAACGATTTAACCTCGTTTACAGGGGCGCTAGCATCATAATATGATACCATCTATTTGGTGCTGATCTGCAGACGTAGGTTGGCGTGTATTATTAATGATATCCGCGAACCCCGCACTGTGGCACGTGCTATCTAAAATTGAAGGTGTAAGGTAGAGCTGTAAACTCTAACGGGTGCATAACAAAAGAGAGTACATTGTTTGTGAACTGTACAAAGACATGTAGCTTAACCCTATCCGTACGCCCTGGGGTCATTTTGCACCCCAGGGGTTGTGTTCTTCACATGTTAGAATGCTTCTAGTGCGAAGATCTCTTTGAAACTTTCATTCAGTATTTCTCCAAAAGTCATTTTGACAGACTGTTAGGCAAAGCGTACGGATCGGATTAAGGAGCAGATTTTCTCTTTGGAAAGTGGCGGCACAGAGTTCCCCACGTCGTATGGATACGATAGTAAAACACGACGTACGGATAGGGTTCTCATTACATTGTATTGTCATTTTTGCGTCCCGTGTCCTGATTTGGGGGTGGGTATTTGTAAGCTCGGTAGTAGTTGTGTCAACACAGTACATGCAATTTATGGGCTAATTTAAATTACACCCAAAGAAAAAAAAAGGAAAAAGAACGATTGTTTGGAATTTGATGATAATGATGATGATGATGATCACTCATTTATTTTTTTCTCAAATACTATGTTCCTGATGAAGCCTTATTGGTGTTTGAAACGTTGAACTGTGAAAAAAATATTTTTTTGGAAATACAACAAGGTCTTAACTGTTTTAATACCTTCTTTATACAATGATGATGATGATGATGATAATGATGATGATGATGATGATGATATTATTAGCATTTTACATGTGATTTAACTCCCATATTATGACATAGAAAAAGCGTCTCGTTCTTGTTATTGACATCAGTGACACACACCAGTATGTGACCTGCTCGCCATCATTTCAGATATTCCGATATATCATGCAATATTATCTTCAAACTTCAATGTATTTCAGGACATGAAGAAATACGTCTTCGTCTGTGTTTACACAAGATATGGCACTTTTGGACGTACTCG